CGTACACACACACACACACACACACACACACACCTCCCGCTATGGTTCTCTCTCTTTTTCACTCCATCCCGCTAGATCCCCAGCTCGTTTCATTTCCCGCCCTTTTTTTCATGCTTTGTTTTCAGTATTTCTCGCCTCTTTTGCCTCAAAAGAAAACAAAACAAAAAAAGAGGACGGCACAACCTCCAACACAAGAACATCAATGACGAAAACGACGGGAAACCACACGAACCGAACTACCATTCGACGACGTGCTGCTCGAGGTGGTAACACTACCTCCGCCGCTGCTGCTGCCGCTACTGCTGCTGCTGGAGTCACTGCGACTGCGCTTCTGTCCCCCGGTTTTTGTCTTTCCCTTTAACAACGACTCCTCATGCAGCCGAGCCTTTTGCAGTGCAAGCATTTCCTCCCTGTTTCCGGCTGCCACCGCCGCCAGGAGCTTTTCCTTTTGAGCCGGATCCTGCACAAGGGCCTCATACGCGGCTGCAATCGACTGGCGTCGCGCGACACTAGGCACGTCCACGTGCAGGATGCGTGAAAGCAGCGTGGGGCGTCGCGCAATTTCCGTGGCATCCGGTGAGAAGTCTTGTGCGGTGCCTACCGGTGCATCAAACACCGCTGTCAACGCCATATACGCATGGGTAAAGACAGAGGTGATAACGTGAAAGCTGCGCAGCGAGCTTGCAGCGTTATTTTGCGTACAGCCTGGATCCTCTAGCATCACCTGTGGGGGTCCCAACGAGGGACGTTGCCCTGCCGGGCTGCTAAACGCCACCGCAGACGTGTCGCTGCGTCGAAAGTATCGACCGTCGTCCAGCAGTGAGATACCGCAGCGGTCATAGTTAAAGTACATGCCATAGTAACGGAAAAAATCCACAAGCAGCTTCCCAAGACCGGTGTATGCCCGTTCCTCCGGCCGCTCTGTGTAAATGGGGTGGTGTTGCAAGAAACTAATCACGAGCAGAGTTGTCGCGAAGGATCCAAGCCCACCATGATAGGGCTCATGCATCCCGCGCTGCTGCAAAAAGTATTTCACCAGTATGGTCAATGGTCGTGCCTCGGGAAAGCTGCGAAGCATGTCTAAAACAATGGCAGAATTTCTTTGGCCATCCTCGGCGTTAATGCTGATATCCACGTCCAACAAGGAGTGACGGTGCTGAAATTTCACCAGCGGTACCTTCGTCTTAAGAATAAGCTGGGGATATGCGGTGTGGCATAACCCTTCACGGCTGATTTCACGTGCTAGCGACGTCAGTGCCTCCTCCGTCGAGAGCGGAACATTCAGGATAGTCATGTCTAGATCAGAAAGAGGCAGCAAGAGACCCGTCAACACACTACCAAACACGATGGGTTCACAGTCAGGCCAAAGACGCTTAGCGATCGCCCGTACTTCCATCCCAATAATGCCTCTCATGAAGACCTCTGCCTCGGACGGACGAAGGTAGTCCACAAGGTCGCAGATCTCTTGATGCAACGCGATGGTCGCGTTTGGCGCGTACCCGCCGTGCTTTGTGTAGCGTTCCACACTCCAAAGTGGAACCACGCGCTGCTGCGTCGGAAGCGAAGGCTTCGAGTCCGAGCGCGGTGAGGAGGCGAACGAGGCAGTGGGCACCATCAACCCATCCCGACCCTCCCACACCGTGAGTGTGGCCTGCAGGTCACTCTTTGCGACATCTGCCAGTGCGCCAGAGGCGGGAAGAAGACTGAGGTAGTCCCCACGGATCCCCTCGTCGTCGGCGCCATTATCACCCTTTCTGGCTGGCTGATTTGCCTCAACCACCACCTCCGGTGTGCGTCCCCCACCCGCGCCAACGCTCGCATCTCCCTCCCTGACTGGTGAGGATGAGGTTGATTTTGTTTTGGAATTGGTGTTTGGAGTTGTTGTAGTTGTCTGTGTCGTTGCTTTTCCGTCGTTGCTGTCACTGGCACCATTTCGCTGCTTTTGACGTGTGTGTTGATGGTCACGCAGCTTTTGTGTCAACGCCACGGAGATGGGCGGCACCAGCGGTGCCTCCACCTCCTCCATCATCAGCCACTCCCCGCTGAAATCGCTATGCCTCTGCTGAAAGCGCGAAAACAGGCTGCAGGTCTCTGCCGGGGGTGGAATGTACGGTGCCTTGCCCGCGTCGGCAAGGGTTTTTTCATTATTAACGTTGTCGGTGGCTTTAGCGTCGTTGCGGGTCAGCGATTCATCAACGGCAACCACCGACGCGTGAGTAACAACGCGTGCACGGCGCTTCATTGGTGTCCCCACTCCACCGTACTCCTTCACACACACACGCAGAAAACGAAAATGCTGCAGGTATATATATATATATATATATGCGTGTCTACCAGCTAAAGGGTGTTTGATGTGGAGAAGAGGGAAAATGGAAAAGTAAGGAAAAGCGGCAGTTCCACCCACCACTCACGCTCACTCCTCCTTTAAAGACCCCCCACGGACCACCGCGCTGGCTTCTTTTCTACGCCCTCCCTTGTGCCGGTTTGCTTGCCTGTTCGCTTTTCGGTTTCACGCCCCTCTTCTCTCTCCTTTGCTCTGTGCGTTCATCGTGCACAACGTAAGGCATGTAAAGAGTGAGAGATGGAGGCAGTAAAGCAGCAGCAGGACGATGAAGTAGGATTACCTGCAGATAAATGAGGAAAACACAGAATGTGCACGCAGGCTCCCGCAGTCGTTCCACGCCAAGTGCGCCAAAAAGACAGAGAGTGGCGGTTGGCATCTCCGCAGCAGCGGCAGGACCAAAAGAGAAAAATAAAAATAATAATAATTAATAACACGCATAAGTTTTGTTGTCGTTTCGCTCTTTTTTTTTTTTTGGCTTACGTTTTGCATTATATATATATATATATATATATATGTATC